TTTTGCGATAAAAATTCATATTTTTAAATTTTCTCTATAAGTCTACGCGCTAAACAATCGATCGACGTCGTCGAAGACTCAAAATCTGATTCAGCATGATATTATCTAAATCAAAATAGAAGTGTTTCAGTAAAGAAAATCTGTAAAAGAAATTGACGTCGTTACGCTATTATTAAAAACAGGATCTAAACGGGTCACCCATTTAATAGTTTAACGTGCTGACTCGTTTAAATCTGTTAACATTGTTTGTTAAACCGACTTAACATGCTCATTTTCACTAACCCGTTTAGGCCTTAATTAAAATTAGCATGCATTACTTAATATTGAATATGAATCATTCATATATGAGTTTATAACATCTATGTGAAAGTATGTTAGCTTCGAAGAACCTCTTAACCAAAAAAAATTCATTGGTTATGGCGTAAATTACTCAATAATGAAGATTTATAGTTCATATACGAGTAACACACAAAATCTCTATCTCCCTCACTTTTTCACAATTGATTTGCACTTACTCTGCACTAGGTGAAGGTGGCGAATTTCTCATCATCATAACATTCATCTTGTTGTAAATTTACTTCATGCAAAAAGAAACACCAATGTTCTTATACATTTTGATCAGCCATGTTTATATCTTGTTTCTTCTATTTTGTGTCTCCATGTTATATGTGATTCCTTGCTTATGCTTCGTTTCATGTATCATGTTCCCATTAGCACCACTGTTTCTTTGTATTATATGAGACTCTGAATCACGTATCAGTTTCATATCATATAATTTTGGTTTTCTTTTTGTCGTTTGGCAGACTCAACATCATAGTAGATTGGATCAGCCAATTACCAGATGAAACTCTCTCTAACATTTTGCGCTTCGTTCCAATTAAAGAGTGTGTTTCAACTTCCGCCCTCTCAAAGAGGTGGAAGCACTTGTATAGGAGTGTGCTGGTGATCGATGTTGTATGGGAGAATAGCATGGTTCCCGAGGTTAAAAGGGAATACTATGTGGACCACTTTAACCGTTGTCGTGAATATCTGAACAATTTCAATAGCTTTGTGGAAAACATGATCGACCTTCCAAGGACCATAAATAAGTTTTGGTTCCGATCTGATATTTATCCTAGTGAAAGTCGCTTGAACCGGTGGATGTTTAGGGCTAGTCAACCTGGCAGGCTTCGTGCCTTGTGTTTGCCCATCCCCGGGGGTGATGGCTGGCAATCACGTCATACTTTGGTATTGTCTTTGGGACTGCGCAGTGTCTTGAAGCTGGATCTTGGAAGAAACTTCGTCATACAATTGTATGGTTTTGTATAATAGTTAGCATAATATATTGATCATATATAATACATGATAATATTGATTCTTATAAATTTTTGAACATTTTTCTAAATAGCAAAAAAAAAAGAATTGGATAATTAAAACCAATAAAAACCAATACTAGTTGATTTGAACAAGATGGAGAAGAAGAGAGTTACGTGCTTCTTCTCCTCCACAATAATTTTTGGTTCATAATCAAATTTATTGCATTCACCAACTAAATTAAACTAGTCATGATCATTATCATGGCTTTGTGTCCTCTATGCATAGATGAATGTATGGTCGCACGCGTGTGCTCCACAAAGAAACGAAATTTAATCAAGAAATTGTTCATAAAAAGTCACATAAACACAAAAGAAAAT